AACAAAGTAGCTTCACAGAAGGGAATGAGTGTGTATGGGCTTGGACGACAAGTGTATGACCCCAAGTACTGTGCTGCACCAACAGAACCTGTCATTCATAACGGCAGCCAAGGAACAGGAACTAATGGGTCAGAGATCAGCGATAGCGATTATCAGGCAGAATACCCAGATGACTATCACGGAGAGTACCAAGATGACTATCAAAGAGATTACCATGGTCAGTACAGCGACCAGGGCATTGATTATTAGCTTTGCATCAAAAGTTCAGTATTAGTCCATTATTTTATTCAGTAAGAACGAAACTAGCCTTGTGGAATTGTTACCCGTCTTTCCTACACACTATGCGTAATGTACCTAAAGAAATACTGCCTTACATACATTCCTTTTTCCTTCTCTGCCCTTTCCCTGTCTAGTTGCCTTTAGTGCTGTAACAGTTGTAGTCTACAGCATAAACAATAACTGCATATGAAGTAAAAGGAATACTGTGAAAGGGGGAGTGCTCTTGTACAGCCAGGTCGTCAAATAAGGAGCTATGCATTTTTACAATCTCTACTTAAGCAGGTATTTACATACCACATTAAGCCTTCATTTTACATATTTACAGCTTTTCTGTTTTACAGATGAGGTAAAAGAATTTTATGCTTAAAGTTAAATGTGGTCTTTGCCAATTAAATCTAAGATGTCACATTAGTGATTTAAATATCATTACTATGTTTTTAAGGTATTGTTTGCTAATGGTAAGTCCTGCATTAGACATAAGTGTGCATTTGTGATTGTGTATTCATTCCATTATCAACACTGACCAAACTTAGAAATAGTTGTCTTACTAAAAAGGGAGCTTGTACAAAGTCTTGAGCCAACAGAAGTCCCATGATTGATGGTGCATTTACCTTTTATTGTGCCATAATATATCCATGTAGAAATGCTTTCTCTTTCATGAACTGTATTTATTGCCACACTTCTCAAACTGATCCCAGTGTATTTTTATAAATAAATATTTTTTCTTAAAGGTATGTAGAAGATCCTGTCTCATTTGTTATGCCACCATTCTTGAAGACTAGATGCCACAGAAATTATTCCCAAATCAGCCTCACCTTTGCCTGTGTTAAGTGTAATGTAGAACTGCTGTCTGTCGCAGTTTGGGTTCTTTCTTTTCTCTGGGATTTAATTTAACAGTCTTGTAAAATCTCCTGGGAGTGAGTGACAGTGACTTAACAGGAAAGGAATGTAGCTCCTTTACAGCAGAGTTCACTTCCCCTCTACAGGACTGTGAGGTTATGACCAGAGATCCTTAGCTGTTCACTAAATCTCTGCCCTCTTCTCAAGGCAAACCAGGCACTGCGCATACTTAACACTGCCTCTGCTTCAGCCTGTCGCCTTCATACCATCGCTTTGAGAGCTCAAAACACCCTTGCTTTAGAATATGTAAAGAGGTAACTCCAATCTTTGTGCCTACTGGTCTGCAATCAGAGTTATGTAGTTCCTGATAGGAGAGCTTTATTCCTAAATGGAAAATGCTTGCTTCCTCACCATGGAAAGCAGGCAGGCTGTGCTGATTTACTGGGGCTATTCTTAACAGGAGAAAAAGGAGCATGCTATCAGTGCGGGGCCACTGCTGCTGATGCTAACTTCTGTAAAAAAATTAAAGTATTTGCTACAGATGGAACTTATTTATGTTAACATTTGAAGTGTTTCATACTTGCAGTTTCAGGACTTGTAAAGGATCTTTCCCTCAAGACTAGAAATCGGTTGTGCTTCACTCCATTAGTTTCTATTACCTTTGGGTATGATGTGGTGATGTGACTTTCAACTGACCTATTTGTTGAGTAAGTCTTGAGCTTATTTATTTAATAGAATTTAAATTTGAAAGGACCTCTGGAGGTCACTGGTCCAAGCCCTACATCTGAGGCAAGAGAATTATTACCAAGAGATCTGTTAAGACCTGCTCTTCCTGAGCTATACTATCCCCCCCCCCAAAAAAAATAATAGTATTTAACAATTTAGAACTATTGTATTGAACGCTGAAAAGTAGTGCTATGATCAACAACAAAAGCTTTGTTGCTTTCATAGTTTGGGTCTCTTTTTGAAAGCCTGAACCATGCCCTCCTGCTCTTTCTGAATCCAAAACTTATGCTTTAAGCTGCTTGCACACATTTATTATGTATGCGCTTGGACAGAGGAAACAACACAACACACAGAGTTCTCACTATGCCTGCTTGCTTTCATTCATACACATACCCAGTGGAATCATAACTTAGTTAAGGGAGAGTTTGAAGTAGACACCAAGCAAGACCAAATACAAACTGCCTTGCTTAAAACAATAAGCTGTACTACTTAGCTATTTCCTGGTATACGGACACTAGCAGTCCCCATCTCCTATTTTTAAGGAATATAGTTAGCAAAGTACCTTTCTTTCCTCTGAATCCAGTCTTCCATAGCTGCAGGAAAAAAAGAGCCCACACAATATTAGGCTGCTTTGCAGGGCAGATGTTGAAATACCAGAAGTTGCTTGGACAAGTATCAGTACCTGAACTAGTACCAACAATCTGTTCACATGAGCTGTGCCTACCACCTCCTTCCATCCTGCTTTACAGTTGCCTGACTGCAATATCCTGCAGGGGAAGACAGCAATGAGAAACCAGCATCAAATAGCATCAGCTTCTGCAAGAGTGCTTTATCCCTCTAACTCAGGTGAGGACTCCTGCCACACAGGAATGCTACAGCTGGAAGTTGCTGACACAATTACTAGTGGAAGGTATGTAAGATTGGGAAGCCCTGTGTTGCACCTGAAAGCTATAAAGCTATGCTTTGTATACAAAATTTAATTAAAATGTATACATTCAGAACCCTTCTGTAAAAATACGCATGATGCTGAAAACATACTGTCACAGTTATTTCTGGACTGTGGGCAGCACAGCAGTGCTTAAATGAAACACATTCAAATACAGCTTAATTGGGATTTTTCAGTACCTTCCTTCTCCAAAAAGCAATCCAAACTTTGTAATAAGTGTCTAAAAGTCCTTTCTCCACCCAGAAACTGCAGCAGAGGCAATGACACTGCATCGTGATGGCAATGAACAGAATCACAGAATTGTTGAGATTGGAAGGGACCCCTGGAGGTCATCTAGGGGTTGTCTGAAAATGAGGATATACTTATATAAAAATTTCCCTCCCTTTCTTCCACCAGAGAGTTCCTGAGTCAAGGGACAAAACATGCAGTGTGAGTACCAAATACAAACATGAAAAAAACCCAATGTTTAATAAGAACTGATTTTTTTTCTTTTAACTTCCAAGCAAACCTACTCTGCTTTGTAAATTGTTAGACATCATTTTTACGAAGCAATCTTACTGGGACCTGTGGAAGAGGAAAAGTTTTGCCCCTCTGTAAGTACCGTATCTACACACCTTCTCACAGTTAGAGAGCTGTTGCTTATTCAGCATGATTTTCAGTTCCCACACCATCCACACGCCAAGCACCAGAAATACCCAAGTGTACAGGTTTTAAATAATTAGGTAGCAAGTCACAGCCAGTAGATGATCAGCTTCACCTGCCAGGCAGAAAGTAATTAATCTATTTCTTTCCCCCTTTCACCACCTATCCCACATTCCTTGATTTCTTGAAGTGGCTCATATTAAAGTAGACAAAATTTAATTAAATGAGCAATAAAAAGCAAATATTTCGTAGCATTCCCTAGCAGATAACTAGTCTCCTCTCAACAGCAGGAGATCAGATGACGTATTGAGCTGAAATATTTGTCATTCCGACCATTGATGAGCTTTTCTGTATGTCACTTCCAAGCTGTGACTAAGCAAAGGTTTATCAATCTTATGAGTCACTTGTCGTAATGTCTGATTTCCCATACTGAAGTATACCTTACTGAAATCCCTGGCTGGAGTCATCTTCCCACCTCAAACGTCTCCTCAAACAAAACTTTAAAGGAGCTTTTGAACAAAGAGAATAAAATCGTGTTCCACTGAGTAAAATCTAAAACTACTCCATACTCAGAACAAGGTGGAGCCCATGCAAGCGTATTATAACCAGGGTCCAGGAACAAAGTTTAAACAAACCTCAAAATTGCTTGCAAGAAAAATGGTAACAGGCTGTTGCCAAGTTATTTTTTTTTTAAAGTGTCTCCACTTACCCTGTTCCTCTTCTGACTAGAGCCCTAACAGTCTCTTCTCTACATTCCTCCAGGATATTTTATATTTCACATCCATGTTACAACTAACATTTCTTTAGAAAGTATTATTTATATAACATCCTTTTATCTCAAATTTTTCTGCTTCCTTTGTCTTTGCAGTTGCAAAGAAAAAGTAGTTGTTTATTTTTATTTACAAAAAAAAAAAAAGAGACTATTCGTCATCTGCTCTCTTGAGAGGAGCCAATGGATAGTTTATGATACTAACTTGTGAAAACCATTCCCAAAAGAGTATAATTAAAAGACACCTATCTCGTAACTGTTCATTATCTTGACTACAGAGAATTTCTGTCAATGGTAATTTCTGTCAATGAGCTCAGTGCTGTTCCTTACTTGGTTGCACTAGCTGTTCAGATATACAGAATAAATCAGGAAAAAGTAATCTCAAAGTGCCTCCTCTACAAATGTTTCTCCATTTACTGATCCAGGGATAACTGGCCCAGTGTTCCCAGAGAAGCATGAAAAAAATCCATGTTAACTGACACCAAAAAGATAAAAAGGACAGCTCAATGACCTTGTCAACTTGGTATTTTTAGTCTGACAACATAGACATTTACAAGGAGTTCGTTTATTAACAACTTTCAGACCATCATAACAATAATATTAATAAAAATCAGATGTGCTGACACACAAAATACTTTATTCATACAAAGAGACAGTGTGTCATTTTACCAGTGTGGAAGGTACAACAGAGAATTAGAGAACTAATATTTTGTCCTGGGGTACTGGTAACCTTTATTTTTTTTTTTTCTATGACTGTTTTTGCTATTGCTGGTCTGCCTTTGTACTTCCTGGTGCATTTCACATTGAAGTCTACAAAGAGAGAAAAAGAGTCAAATAATGTGTAGCACTAGTCCTGTTACTGCATTTAAATGCGGTAAGAGTAAACTGGGAAAATAATTAAGGTTCTTTTGTGTCTCAAATCCACAATCCTCTTGCAGTGAATAACCCCCGCCCTGGTTTCTGCACTCGGCAGAAAATTACTGAAGAATGCAATAACAGACCCAAACAATGAAAAAATCAAATACAACTATCCCTCACTGCAGCAATAAACTGAAGCAGTGCTTTGTAGCCCAACTGCCTATAGCAGAATGCCCACAAGATTGTATGGGAGTTCACTAGAGCCTGGTACCTCTTTGAAAGCAGATTAAGAAAAATCACCAAAATGTGTTACACATATGTAAGAAGTAGCTAGGAGGACACAAGACACTAGTCATAGTGGCCAGCAGAAGTAGGTGCCAGAGTACCTGTTGTTGCAGAGTCTTTCTCCAGCAGTTCTGTCTTGCCCCCTGTGATGCTGGGGGAAAATCATCCTGGATTCTGAACTTGCTGGGGCAGCTTCTCAGGTTGGGCAATTTGCAATATTTTTTAGATGTCAGTTAGTGAGCGTTTACTCTCAGGACTTTCCCAAGCCTGGGTGTGGGGAAACACTCCCTTCTGGCACCTCAGCTTTTTTACCCCAGCATAAAACAGAGTAAATAAATATATATACTTGATAGAAAAGAAGGAAAGAAAAAGGGTGGGGGTGGAGAGGGAAGGCCTCTAGGCTCTGATCTTACAGCTCTGGAACTTCAGCAATTCTGTCATGAAATCAAGCAGCCTACCACTCTTCTGACTTTCCTACAGCAGACATGCAAAGGACTATCTAAACAGAATTTATCTCCCACGTCCTTGCCATTATCTGACCTTTCTCTTCCTCTGCTGGGCACTCTAGGGAATGGGAAGAAGGATTAGAACAAATATTTGATCCATCCATTTTGCACCAGCAGAGAGTTTCCTGAGGAGGGAAAGCAATAGAAGGAAAAACAGGATACTGGGTACAGCATGTTGATTGGTGTGAGACATCAGGAAATACATGACAGCCTACATCCATTCTTCCTGGGACATAAAGGCAAACACCTTATCTGTCAGATAAATACATATCCCACACTACTGTCTCACCATAGGTTGGAGCTCTGTCCCATCTTCGTTGTCCTGGAAAGGTCTCATGACTCTGTGTTTTTGTCCTTCTGTTAACTTGTTACTCTGACTCACAAAGGTCTACAAGCAAAAACCAGAGTGAGATCATTTGGGAATGCAAACCATTATGTAAACAAAAATACCTGGTAAAGGAAGCTAATTAGCCTGGGGCTAAGAAACTAGCTGGTTCCTAGCCGGATGACTCCGAGTGATACTGAGAGGGACTCCGCAGAGAGAGCATGGGTGATGAATGCAACTCAGATGAATCAAGAATCTCTGTTACATCTCCTACTACAGGAATGAGGACTCTGGCTGCCTGGAATCCCTCACCCAGCTCTCCACCCACTGCTGCATATTGTCCTGAGGGCCACAGAGCCTCCCTTCCACCCCCAGATGTTTGTAACTCGTCTGTAACACAGACATCCCAAGTCAAATGCTTTCATGTGTTGGGAAACTCCAAGCTCTTGGCTACGTGAGCAAACTTACTCTTGATCATGCAATGAGGCGGAGTTTGGATGTGCTGCCACCAGTTTTTCTATACAAGGTTATACAGCCTGCCCTGCTTGTAAGACTCCTTACCCCTGTGGCAAGTCCTCTCTTCACCCAAGGTCCTAGGGCATGGCTAATTACAAGGAATTGAGACCAGAGTTAAAGAGAAATTACTACAAAGTTTGGAAGTGGAAAAAGAAAAGCCTCTGTTTGTTTCATGAAGGAGAATTGGCTTAAGAAGTATTTTAGCATTTGGCAAAACAGAGCAAGAACAGAGGTCAAGGCTTCAGATTTTTCCATTCAGTAACATATTCCTATTCGGTACATGTGCTTAAGTACTGTTCTGAATCAAGGCCAAAGAATATCTCTCTGCTTTCTTCTGTAGAAAGGGTTAAGCCTACCTTTAGGCTGCCTTTTTGTTGTTTTTTGTTTTCAACAAAATTCTATGAACATTACATGGAATCTAACAGCAGCATTAATAAAACCCCAAAGCCAGTTCTTCTGACACTGTCCTGAAGAAATCCATCCAGTAGATTCGTATCATATGAGCTATTCTGGCTGCTGAGTTTGTTTTTCATGAATCACTAAGATTTTCTTTGTTGCATGGTTTATGAAGGAAAAGACAGAACTGGCAAAAAGAGCATGAAAGGAAAAAACATCTGCATCTTCAAATATTCTCTTAATGTGAAAGGGATGGCATACATACAGTCAAAGGCTTCAGATACAGCTGTTAACGAAAGCTCTCCATCACTATTAGCTACGTAATGATTCTCCATGGAAATGCTTGTACTACAGTGCAGTAATTATGAGGGTAAAGATACAGAACAATCAGTCCAGAAGCAGAATTTAATCAAGAGCCAGAAGACAGTATTTTGGCAAAAGAATCTGTACAAGTATGAAGCAGAACAAGTCAAGTTTGCATGAAGTTTCCTCAGAACTACAGCATCCATAGGGTGTGGATGGATACTTGACCTGCTGCTGGCAACCAGAAGCCCTGTGCTGCTTCCTTTTGCTCATCACTGTACAGTAAGTCACAACAAATATAAACATCTAATCTTAGGGCACCCCATGGATCGGTCTCTGCAGCTAGCTCATCTATGTAGTTATATCTTTTAATTACCAACAATTTATAGAAGAGATATCTAGTAAGGCCTAAACTGTCAGCCATTACTTACAGAGTATGATCTAAAAGAAGGCAGCAGATCACAGCTGGCACACAGGAGCCAGAGGGAGCCATTTGCTTTGGTTTATAAATTCACATACCATTTGTATCCCTGAGCCCATCCTGTTCTAAGGTGTTGGAATGGAAATAGCATGGGTTGTGGGTTCACATTACTAGGTCTTGGGGAAAGAAAAAGTGGCCAAAAGCTTTAGAAGACTCAGATATCTTTGCTGTTATCACTGGGGTTTACCAGCAGTTCCTGATCCACGAAGTATGGCTTCTCTGCAGATCCATCATTTGTTTCCATATCGATAGCAAAGCAAAGGAACATGGCATCTGCTGTCACTTCAAACACAGACAGAAAGCTGTGGGCCATCAGGTAGGCAAAAAATCCAACTAGCAACAGAGGAACTACCCAAGCTTGCAGTTCCCGATGGTAGTTAAATGCCATCAATCCTCCAAAAACAGTAAAACATACAACAAACACCTGTTAAGGGCAGCAAGAGAGAAATGCAGCCTCATTAATCATATAGAAATGTTTCTTAAAAAAACCAAAACCCCCAAAACACTAAGGCAAATACATTACAGCCAATATTTTAACAGCACATCTCATCTGGGAGATAGCTGTGTAGTTTCTGGCATCATGTAGTTGCCTCACTTTATGTTCAATTCAGTGTGTAAATTCTGTAGGCCAGAGGCAATCTTTTACTATACACTTACCAAAGACTCATTGCAATGGGAACTGCAAGAGTGGCACCAAGGACACTACTGTAATACCACTAAGTAACTCTGTAGAGACTAGAAAAGGATTAAATTCCTCAAACATTATCTCTCCAGAACTCATTTGACAGCATCAACAACACTGAGTTTAACAAATTTACCTTGAGTATAAGAAAAGAGAATCTGACCTTGATTTTTCACTTCACTCCTACAGAACAGTACTTTTCTTACACTTACCTTTCCTAGAAATAGGATAAAATCCCCAAAGCAGCTAATGGATGCAAGTTTAGGAGAATTCTTCTCCAAAATAAAGACAGCGTCCTTTGCTGATGTACAAAAATTTGTCCCATTTATGGCTGTAGTTGTGTATGCATGCTGAAATAAGAGAATAATGCGGTGAGAAAGGAAAGACTCTTATAATCTAGATTTTACTTCAGCAAATGCAAAGCCTTAAACCCTATTTGGAAATACCAACTTTATGATTATATAGTTATTTTGCATAATAAGGAAATTTTATTTTAAGTTACTATAATAACTATGCTTCTAACTTCAAATAGTTTTTTCTGCATAATTTCCACCATTAGCAAATACTAGAATAGTGACTAAATGAACTTCTTGTTCTACCTTTATCCAATTTATTTTAAAACACCTAAGTTCTCTACCCTAATTTTTGTTAATGAATACGTCAGAATTACCACAGACCACTTATGTACCTGGAATCACACTGGAAAAGAACAGCTAAAGGATCCTGGACTGGATCAGTGAGTGTTATGTCACAAGAAAACACCCAGAATTTCAACAGACAGTAGGAGAACTCACAGTTTTTTGAGGTATTGACTATTTTACAAGACTTCTCTTTGTGGAAACTTGACAAGACAGGTGGGGAGGACAGAATATTTATCTTAATGGATTGGATTATTTTAGCACTTGTTGTGCATAACTTGACATGTATATCTCATTTATGGAACTCCTCAACAAGGTTTTGAAACTGTGACCAAAATATGATCTAACAGCACTCAAGATACCCTAAATGTATGCTCAACTTTACCAGCAAGTCTTATGAGTAGTTTCCCTTTACTCAAATTATTAGAGGGTGGATTATGCCACAAAACATTAGTTACATCTGGTATAGTCAGTAAGAACCACAGTGCGCAAGGGATTGCTGTTCTGAAGGAATTTGTACACCCCAACGTGTACTTGGTGTTTAGATTACTTTCTGCTGCACCTGGAAGTGGAGAAAAAACCCCAAAACCCAGTTTGCTGAAAGTGAATTATACTGGCCTGCTGCAAAACTCTTCCTGTTCAAAAATAATTTTTTTCCTCACTTACACATCAAATATAAAATCGCTTCAGATATTTAAACACAGAGGAAATTTATTTCTGCAGTCCAATTTTACCCCACAGCAATTTCTGTAACATACTGCAGTGTAGCAAAGCTATACTGACATTATCTTAAAATGTTACAGAGAAAGAAGGAAATTACATGCAGCCAAAATCCTTTGTCTCTTTATCTTGGATACTATTTATTTTATATATGACAAAGGATTTTTTTTTTTTGTTCTGATAGCAAGCAAAAAAAGAGTAGAAGTAAACAGTGACATCCTGTAAATCTTATACTTAGTAGCAAATACATCCATAGATGGAAAAAAGTATAAATAAAGACCATGGATTTATTGCCTACTCTAAGAAAAATCAAAGGCTCCACTGAACTCTACAGAAACACGTTGAGCGTCTGCATAAAAGTCTGTTTAAACAAGCGAGTTCACTTTATTCCTAAAGAGGAAAAAACATTTTCTGTGCTAACTTTCATTTATACTGACGCTGTTCCTTTCCCTGGGGAGTGCTGCAGCAGGACCGGCAGAAAGGTGTGCCCTTTGGCTCCGGCAGTCACTGACTACAGTACCTTTGCCTTCTTGCTTGCCTACACCTCTGAAAGAGAAGCGTACTTGTCCCACCTGCCTCACTCAACCCGGTAGGTCCGTAAGCAGCCTGCTGCCATCCCCTGTGAGGAAACCCACAGGAAACACAGCAGATTCAGCCCAGGATGCAGCAGCAGGAGAGCTGGCTGTTCAGTAAGGCCAGTGCCAGCCTTGCTGGGCTACCGTTTCCCCAGGACACTGGCGTAGGGCAGACAGCCTCAAGTTAAGCACCGTCTTCCATCTGTAGCTGTCACTACACATTTCAAACATGGATAGACCTATCTTTATAACGTGCTGTGAGTTAAGTCATTCCCATTAACAGACAGGAAATTGAGACACAAAGTGGAAAAGGGTTTTCAAAGGTTGTTTCTGTCCCTTAAGAACTACATTCACAGAACAGATCCTGATCTGGTGAGGTCAGTATAAATTTTGCCAATAAATTAAACAGATATTCTGTATTCATTATAAATAGCAAAAAAAGTCCTATTTTAAAAATGAAAAAGAATGTTGAAAATGCACGTGCACTTGTACAAACATTGTTTCCGAACTTAAAATAAATAACCATTTGTTTGCACTCTTGAATTAGCCACTTTGGTATCTGAGGAATGTGCAACAAAAAGAATTTCTGATATTTATTAACTAGAACAGTTATCTCGGAAAGGCTGAAAATAATGCTGAAGACTGAATACTTACTGCATAGGGATTTGTCATATTACAAACCAGTTGATTAAAAAAATGGCATTTATAACAATTACAACTTCAACAAATCATGTAAGTATCAACTAGTCACAACACCCAAGCAAGAAAGGCAACCAGGCAATAATCCAACATTGTAGAAGGAATAAGAGAGACACAGAAATGAACAAACTGCTGAAGGCTACAAAACTAGTCATTGATGTAGGTGAAGCGAGAATGTTACAAGTTGAAGACTTAGCCGTGAGCTCTACCTTTTGGCAAAAAATAAACTTCTCAGAAAAAAATAAAAAAGGAGGGTTTCCTTTTCAGCCTTGACTGTAGCTCCATACATGTACCTCACAATTCTCAGTTCTCCCATACTGACCCGATCCCCTGATCCCATCCAGCCACATAGAAATCTGCATGTTCTCACTAACAAAATACACATCTAACATTTGAGCAAATGTATGTTTCCATGTTGCACAGAAATGAGCTCAAATGATTTCTCATCCTTACCACCAAAGAACACACACAAGCTATTATCAATATTTGCACAATTCTTTGGACTAAGAAGCTTAGATATCCCATTACTTTTCCAGTTGCAGGGCATGTGCAACAACCCAATCCCTTCCAAAGAAAAGATAGTCGCGAAGGCTAAGATGGTAGACCGTGGTCAGGTATGAACCTGCTATCATTTAGAAACAGATTATTTAAATGTGTTTTTCTACAGAATGTATTCTCTTTCCCATGCGCAAAAGCTTTAATGGACTTGGAAATGTTTGAAAGAAGGGCAACCAAAAGGTGTGGAATGTCTTTTGTCTGGGGAACAACTGAGCACACCAGGCTCTTCTGTCTGGAAAAGAGATGACTGAAGGAGGATGCAGTAAGAGGGCTACAAAATAATGAAAAATGCGGAGAGGGTAGGTAGGGTTAGATGGCTCAGTGTTTCTTGCAGTACAAAGATCAGACAGGGGGAGGACCATACGAAGTAGCAGGAGCCAAATTTCAAAAAGATAGTATTTCTTCTTGCTGTAACTCTGTAAGCTGTGAACTGCTGGGCAAAGGACGCTCTAGCTGCTGAAAGTTTGCATGAGCTCAAGGGATACTGGGGAAGTTCAGGGAAAAGGAATCCACTGAGACTTACTAAACACACAGAAAACATCCTCAGCTCAAGAAGTCCCTAGGCTGAAAACAGATTCAGAAACAGCACAGGGATAGGGAAATACACACTCGTTCTACCTTAGTGTTCACTCACAGCCACTGTTGGGAGTTGGGACACTGAGCCAGGTGGAAACTCAGGCTGGCCTAATATAGCTATTATGGTTTTTTATCTTCACTTAATGAATTGATGCTTTACAACGGTAGTCTCTGCTATGGTGACAAGCAAGTAGTAACACTGTCGACAGCATACCATTGATCAGAAAGCACAGGAGACAGTGGGTCAGGAACAGTCTTTATCCTTGCACCAGCAAGTTGGTACTTTACCGCCACCTTTGTGAAGAACAGAAGCCTCCTCTGGCTTGGAGCCTGGGAACTAGACACCAGTTTGTCAGTGTCGGGATGAATAAATAAGGAATGTGAATGTTTACATATTTCCAAATACCACAGTATGAAAAAAAACAAACCCTATTTAAAGAATACATCCTTCTGTGCCTCACAACACAGAATGTCAAGGGTCTTGGAAAAATTGACCCACTAGTTTCATGAGAAAGGCACTGTGGCTCAGATCCAGGCCATAAGTTCCCCAATTGCTGAGAATAATTGCTACTTTGTCTAACAGCTGAATTCAGTCCTCCATTCTAGGACTTGCTTTAATAAAATGAGCTTGGGGAAGAGAAGACTGCCATAGCAACAGAATTGTCTTTAAAAAGCAGCAGGAGACATGCTGGTCTCACCCCCCACTTTAGCTTTTTCTGCTCAGCTGTTTTTTCAGCCTGATCTGATCTTGTTGCTCTCAGCTCTCCTGGGGGCTGCCCTGGTTAGCTACACCCCATGCAACGCTGTGCAGCTCAGGCTGGACTGAGCTTGCAAGTGTCACAGCTGCCAGTGGAATCCCCACAGAAAACAAAATCCAGCGGCAGCAAGAGGCAGACCGATTCTGTGGCTGCTGGGCAGACCTGGTGAGGAAGCTTTATCACGTCTCTCGGACAGTGGTGGGAAATTAGAGCAATGTGGGCCTGTGAGGCCCCACTGAAGAGACGAGGACACGTAAGACGGAAGGGACTTTCAGCCACTCTGGTCCCTGGCTATTTCAGATTAGCACACTCTATGATTTCTTCTCTTAAGTGGAAAGCTCTCTCTTTAAGCTAGTTAGGTCCTTTCCCTCTCCCTGCCCTTACATTTGGATCTATTCCAGACAGTTGTCCCTCTGGTCCTTAGGAACCTTCTTCCAACTTCCAGACAAGATTTACTCATGAACAGTTTGCAGCTACTCATTCATCTGCTGATCTTCTCGTGGCTCTTATCCCTCCCTGCTCTTTCTCTGTATCAATGTATCTGTATCAATGATACACTCGTAGATGGCTAATGGGCTTGCTCTTACCATTCATTTGTCAAAGCAGACAAATCAGTATATGCCCCCCACCCCTAGTGAGATAAGCCCAATCACCGAACCAGCAATTTGTACAATGGCATTTATCCCCCTCTTTCTGGTGCAAGTATTTAATCCCACTCCTTCCAGGGCTGAATCTGCCCTCTCTTGTACACTAAAGGCTATTGTCCTGTGGTTGACAAACACATGGAGAATGTTCTCGTCTTCCACTTCCAACCAATAAGCACACAGCTAATACAGAAATCGTTATTTTTGATTTTTAGAGAGAATTTCCAGACAGTTGTTCATAAATTGCTCTGCTTAAAAGCACTGAATTATTGTTCACTTGCTTCATTGCCTTTTACTCTCTTTTTTTTTTTTTTCTTTTTTTTTCTTTTTTTTTAATGGGATAGGGGAGAGGAGAAAGGTATAAAAGCAAGAATTCATCCCCTACATGGTTCACCCTACGGAGCAAGTAAAGACCTTAGGAATTTTATTTCCTGTTATCACATACATAAAGCCTCTAGAGGGGAAAGAAACATATTTAAAATACAATTTCACTGAAAATGAACTTTTTAGCCAAGTGCATTTTCAAGATGATTGAAAATTTAGCTTAACATCTAGAAGCAGTTTTGCCAGTAACATTAAAATGCAGGACTGTTTTTGGGAGGAAAAAGAAGTACTTGATGAGGTTGGCAGGACAGAGAACTGTACTTACATTAGCAAGCATGAATACTGGTTTTATCGCAGTCACTTCTCCACAAGGCATTTAACTGCAACCTCTCCATAAGCTTCCATCTGAAGGTTAAGAGATAACCAACTGCTATGGATATGGCCATTAGACAAGCCGCCTTCTGTTTTTTTACACTAGACAGTTGCTGGCTTTCAGTATCAGTGAAGGGTCTCGGTACCAGCAAAATGCAGGCCAACACACTGCCGACTTCAGCAATGGCTACCACGGGGCCCGGAAGGCTACCCTGCTGCTAACTGTGCTATGAAACAGAGAAACCACGTACTGCTCAGCAACTCCTTCAGAAATCCACGTGCTGCACTTTGGAGCAGTTGCTTGCCAACTGGCTGCAGATGAACCCAAAGCAGACACAGAAAAGCAAAACTATCCTGAAATAGATATATTGTTTAAAAAAAAAAAGAGTCAGTGCAACAATGCTGTAAAGGAAAAAAATAAGCAAGTGCTTTGATGTATCAAAAGTTAAGACTGCCACTACAATTTAAGAAAGCAGGAGACAGACCTTGTAGCTCCCAAACCACATTAAAAAACCAGTATATTCTTTTTACGTAAGAGAGATTTCAATCTCCCAGATTTTACTTGAGGTGATTGGATATGTTTATCTGGAACATACTGAAACCATCAGAGCCAGAAGATGAAAAATCTGTGGTAATTCTGACAAGTGTTGGCAAACAGAACTGTCAAGTAAGGATAATGACTTTATATTCGCAAAGCACTTTTCATCCAGATAGAACCCAGAGTGCTTTACAATTGTTACTAATGGATTATACACACACATGAATCACTTTGCCCATGACTGAAATGGAACAGCTTAAGGAGTGAACTGTTTAACAGCACATAGCAACACTACACCACAGTTTAGCACAGGATCCAGTTGCAAATCCAAGCGAAATTTGGGAAAGCAGAATGTAATCATCCACATTGCAATCTGCACAGGATGCTGCGTTTACGTTACCCCTCCTCCAAAAACCGCCACTGGAAGTATGGCAACTGTCAGTGTCTGGCACTGCACTCTGTCACCACGGGAAGATGACAGGGTACCTTTTCAGCCCTGTTACAGTTAAGTTCCAGCAGAGCTGAACAAAACTTAGCTGAGTCTGCAGAGAACGAGTCACTTCAGGGATGCATGCAACTATCAAAGTCGGTGTTAAATCCCACCTGAAAGATGGCACTTCAGCCCAAAAAGTACTCTTTGGTAACATAACAGAGCACCTGGCTGATACTGCATGGGAAGAAAGAAGCTCACACTCTATCACCAGCGTTACTTCCTCCAGCACTGGTTTCTCATCTGCAAGTTTCCCAGAGGGAAAACAAAGGGGTCTGTTTAATCCTGATTAAACTTGTGAATGAAGCAGAAAGAATTTAAATCATCTAAGCAACATAACAGGCAACAGGTTGAAGAAAATAGTGCAGAAGTGATGGGGAAGACTTTTTTTAAGAGTTTCAGGTAATTATATGCTTATTACTATAGTGAAAGTAATACTAGAATAAAATGAAAAAATATAGTAAGGAAAGTTAATGCACACAGTGAGCTTTGGACCAACTTTTATAAGTTCCAGAGTTCAATAATTTCATCTCACACAAAAATCAAAATCTGAACTAAAAATACTTTCAAAATGTTAGAAACATAGGTACAAGCAATTTTTTAACCCCTCCCAAGTCCTACTCTCAAGTCCATGTTCAACACCTATGTAAAATTTCAAGGCTGTATGCAGCACCTTTCACTGATCTCAGTAAGAGCTCTTCAGAGTTCAGTACTTCTGTTAATCAAACCATATGTTAAGATGATTAGAACTGCAGACTTGTCTTCCCCTCCTTTTTTTTTTTTTCTTTTCTACATTTGGACACAAATTTAACAAAACTGAAGATGAAGATTGACAATCTTAGTCAAAATATATTTTTTTAAGAAATAGGCTTGAATACATTATTTATAGGGAGACAATAAAAAACTGATTAGATACATTAATTACTCTATGAAATGAAATAATCTGAGATTAATATTTCCCCTTCATATAGACAAAATTTCTACTAAAGTCTTACAGCATGTTCTCGCTTTTCATCTAATCCTCGCCCAAATTGCCCTGGATTTGGAGCCCGTGGAACACCACCATCTTTGCCAAAAAGACAAAAACAAACCATTATCAAACACCAAACACAGTATTATGATCATTAGGTTAAAAACCACAACTCATATAAAAACAGAAATTTGCCTACAATAGATTAGGAAACAGGAAATCTTTTAAGGGAACAAGAGCTACACTACAGCCTTCTGAAACAAAAGGAAGAACATTACAGTAATTAATTCTTCTCTTAACAAACACATAGCATACAACAGCTGGAGAAAGTAAACACTAGGATGCTGGATATCTCTCTGAAAGGCAGGAAGCCAAAAAAGTGACTAAAAATGGAAAGCCTGGAGTCAAAATGAACTCAGATTCCTCACCAAGTCAGTGACCATAAGATCTACCTAAAAAAATGTTAAGTCTGGAAAATCCATCGTCTAGAAACAGAGATTTCACTGCACAAGTATTTAATCTGGGCTGAACTAAGTGAAAAACTTTCTTTCCATAGTTGTCCAAGATTAAGCTTAATTTATGCACCTAATTTAGAGGAACAGTCAGACCCTTTATCAGAACTGTCTTGTTTACTTCACTACTGCCCTCAGCAATGAGAACAAAGAACCCAACAGTCAGAGAGTTAGAAATCAGCATGAACATCTGATTCCCTTTCACATTAAGAATACCACAGTCACCAGAAATAACAAAAGAGAACTGACAAAGAGAAAAGTTAACTATGTACAATGATGTATATAGAGCTGGAAAGCATTTGGAGAAAAGGATCAGGAAAGAAAAGGTAGGAGTCATGTATCTGAAAAACTGCTGTATGTCAGAAATCATCTATTTCCAATAAAAACACTTTTGAAACTAAACTGCTAACAAAACAAAGATGTATTTCAAAGAAAGAATATTATGTCATCTGGCTTTTTCATCATGGATCATATTCCCAGATATATAGATACTGGAAATCAGCCAGGAGTTCAAGTTTCTTTATTCAGGACTTCCAGGTGGAAAATACTGCATCTAGTTTAACGACACATCTCTAGGTGGGTTTCTCACTTCTTCATTGCTTCCTTCTACCTGGACCCTCTGTATTTCAGTAGTCTGTCTGGCACAACTCAACAAGATGTTAAGTCTTCTTACCTTCAGAAATAGCAAGTTGCCCTCTGAAAGGGCCATCTCAGGCTGTACTAACAAGTTTTCTAAAATCTTGCACTTTGCATGTTTGTCAATTCCCTGTTTCTTTGCAACAACTCCCATCTACATGTGACGACTTTTTTGTTTGTTTAGTGTAGGTGGCCAACAGGTAACTTTGGCTTGCATGCACTGGATGTTGCTTTAGTCGTGCTGAATGGAGCTACCATACACACACGGTTTCTAGACTAGGTATGTACATGGGTGAGTACAGAGAGGTGATAGAGTGTACCTGGTTAAAGTATCTTAAGCAACTTTCCTGGCACCAAAACCAGCAGAAACAGCACTTGAACAGGTACTTTGCACATGCACTCTCCTGCAATAAAATTAAACGTTTGGTTATTGGACACAGAATTACACTCAAACAAAACCGCCATTTCAGAAAAACTTGCTTTACAAGTGACTGATTCTTCTAATAAAAGCTTTCACTTAGGCAGTAGATATTTCCTTTTGGATTACAGGAACTGCTTTTAATTCAGACCCTTCAGTATTAATGACTGATGAGCTGAGCATATTTTTTTTTCCTTCCTGTGGATGGAAGATTCTTCTCTGGGAAAAGAAACTAAGTGCTGCAAGCCACTTTGTGAGCTAACAGCTGCTTGGAGAACAAACAGGCAGGCAAGTCAGTAACCCTTACAGTACTTTGCAGTGATCAGGCAGTACACCAACATAAAATCGACAGATTTTAAACTTCTTTTTGTTTATCAAAAAACCTTCACAGTTCTGAAATGACTGGTACCCTAATGAACAAAAATATAAAAATGGGCAGAAGGACTTACATGCACATGTGTATGTACTGACTCAGAGCATACATTCATTTTTCAGGGCAGGCAGAAAAAGCATGTATTAGGACAGACCATTGACCTATATTAATTTCATATTAAAAACAGAGCAGAAAAGCTCAGTGTTTGTTTCACCTCTCCCACCTCCATCACATCACAAACTCAGAACTGTTCATCATTTAAAGATTTTAAGGAGCAAGACAAACAAAAGATATCTTGTTAGCCATGGTAGCCTTCCAAATTTAACTGGCTGTTTTTCTCACCAAAAGGAAATTCAGTTCAGTGATACTTGAGTCTTTTTAACCTTCTTTTTCCAGAGGTCAGAATGTTTTTGGTTTGTTTTGGAAAGCAGAGATCTTCCAGTCACTATATGAAAACTTCAGGTCCCTATAGCTACCACTGTTCGTGCAGAAACCATGAACCTCCCAACTTCTGTCCAAAGAAGTTCCTGAAAATATTCCAGGAATAATTCCTTTAAAATGGTGACTGTACATGCAAACCCCTGACAGTAGAAAAATACTTTAATTTTTCCTTGTATTGCTGGAGAGATTATTTTACTAAAACTGTATTAATCTCAGCAAGTACTGTTTATTAAAAACCTAGAGCAATGGACTTTAACTGCAATCTTCTCTCTGATTCTGCTTGAAGACTGCTGCATAGAAAACATCTGTGAATTTACCTGCAAGCTCCCAGAGCCCTGACTTTTCCTCCTTCACAGAAAACAGCAGGATTTTTTGCAAGGATGGCAAGGTCTGGGTGAGCTCTACAAGGATGCAGCATCGCTTTTGCATCCTTTAGTACCACTACTCTGGCCCTCTATGGAAAGAGCCTCAATGGAAAGGAGCCATAGCCTGTCCTTTCTCCCATGGGAAGGAGCAAGGTTACTTTGGGGGGGGATCCTTCTGTGGACTAGGGACACAAGCTGGCCTGAGCACCTTATAGCCTCTTTAGGAACAGTAACAGCTATGGGTCATGTCACATCCTCAGATGAATGCTTGGCAACTGGACCATAAAGAGCTTGTAGCACACTGCTATAGCCACAAATAATCTTTCTTTGCTAGTTAAATCTTCTACAGCTATTCTGATTACAAAACCACGTATCCAACATCCACTGTTCTGCTGCTTCTCTCTATCACAGCTCATCCCACCTATCATCTTTAAACAAAGTTCTTAATTGACCCAACTCAGCAAATTTTATAACCAACACTCTCATATGAAAGTGACATAAACCCAGACACTTACACAACTTTCAAGTGTCTTGTTACAAAGGGCTTTTATGTAAGCATTCACAAACTATACCCCACACACATGCCTCATACATACCAGAGATGGTCAATGTAAATACCCAATCATAACTATACATAACATGCTTCAAGGCCAAGGTAAACTCCAGAGAAAAAGACCTACATTTAAAAACTTTACAAAAATATTCCTCTAAAATCAGGACTGTGCAGTCATGACAGCCCTCCCTCCTTGCCGAAGTGCCAGAACTGATTGCAATGGTATGTTTCCAGCAGAAGTTAAGAGATGCAGGGATGCATGAAAGATAGAAAGAAAGCAAGCAGCAATCAAAACAGCCCAGCTATACTTTATGTATCTTAAAAGATGTGGCTTGGATGCCACACAAATCTCTGGAATAGTTCTTTTTTCATACATTCTTTCTATAAACTCATATTACAAGGCAGATGAAATATTTTCTAGAAGATATTTTATAGCCAATAATTATGTTCTTATTTACCTTTGCTTTTTTAAAATTTATGATGCAAAAATTTTAAACAGACCATTCTGCCAAATTTTTCCTTTTTTCCTTCATAAAGACCTTTCTACATAAACACTAAATAAAGGTGGTTTTTAATGGTGCTTTTAATGTTTTCGGCTTTTAAAATATCTGAGTTGAGAGAAAAAAAAGGAAGCACATGGGAAAAGCCTTCTTAATGAAGAAAATGGGACAGAATATAAAATCCACATCGTATCATGTTTCCAAGCAAGAAGTATATTCTTCACTTTTTTTTCATGAATCTCACCTTTTAACTACTATTTTTATAGTGTTACAGAAGTATATACCTACCTTTTGTTTTAGGATATTATAAAGGTACAAGAGAATAATCCTTGGTATTCTCAGTATTGTGATTAGAAATGAGCCTTTTACAGCAGTTCCTAGATGATAGCAAAAAAGAATTGATATGGAAGACAGGACTGGGTGAGGTGGTGGGCTATTTTTATTTCTAGAAAGAAAAAAACAAACAATTTAAAGATGTTTAGAAACTTATTGATAAAGTTATACATTGTATCTTTTCAGTATTTGGAAATTTAAAGAATTAAGTTGGTATCTCATTTCCCACTTGAACAACTCCAGTTTTCCTCCTGACTTCATCTGAATGTTCACCCTAGTCCAAAGGAAAGGAGCCAAGTTTGTAACTTTTATTGGATTAGTTTAATTCTTAAGCAACGATTGTTTTGATGTATTCAGTAATGGAAAAATATCTAGAAAAAAACGACAATGGAAAATAAGTGGACAACATCTGAGCATACTTCCTCGAACACTTCTTTCCAGTTTCTGTCACTTGTCTTATTCTCTGCAATCTTTTATTTGACTGTTGTTTCTGCAAGATTTTAGTCTGAAGGAATGAATCCACTATTTCTGTTTCAGTGGTAAAATTAAAACTAGAAAAAATATCACAAGCTCTCACATGTAAAATTGAGATCTAGTATCTACATTTATTACTGCAATTTGGTTGATTTTTAAAAAAATTTTCTTCAGCTAATTAGTACTTTTTTTCCACTGAACATGATTTGTTTTAAAATGGAATACACAGAAAAAGGAATATCACCCTACATGTTTAGAATTATAATTTGGCCTAAAAACCTTGTAATTCTACTGCACACTAACTTGTATAGTTTTGGAGAAATAATATGTTTCCCAAAATTGAAAAGCAAAGACAAAAAGTTGGCCTAAATACAAATTGTATTTTCTTGGTTCCTTTATAAAGGTCAGTTTAATGTCAATCATTTACAGAGAGCAGTATGACACAGCTCTCAAGAATTTATATGAAAACCATGAAATGAACTTAAAGCCACTCTCCCACCTCTCTTCAAATACTGTCAAAAAATAATCAATTAGATTAACACTATAAATACCTTAAAAAAATGTTTCAGAGGATTAAAAAAAAAAAATCACTGATCAATGGTCATAAACAGCCCTCCTATAAAGCAACTCTTAAGCAACTGGCTGAACCCTGAAAAATTTACTTAGGCAACAACACCAGCCACAGTGTGCCTACGGAGTTAAGTAAAGATCAGACCTTCTATCACTAAGATGTCCTGTTTTCATAAGTGATTCCTTCAAAACCTCTGTTATCTTGAAAAAGTAATGGTTTGCACTAGAAGCTAAAAAATAAAAAGGCAGTGATAAGAGAACAACTGGCTGGGGCTAAAAAGCTCTACAAATATATTTTTATTAAATCCTTGCTTCAGCAAAGATTTAAATCATACAAACTACATCAAGATAGATATCACAGTTCTGCAAGAATCCTGAAGGTATCACTGCCGTTCATTCAAAACACTAAATACTGTGCAGCCAAGAAGTTATATTTAAATATGTGAATATACCACATTATTTTAAATAGGAAATTCCAGCAAAGCAGTTGCTGCATTTATTATTTTTGGTCTTACAATCAGGGGAACAGCTTGTGGGATAGTGGAATTTTATACTGAATAAGGCAGGTTTGGGTTTTTTTTAAGTCGTAGGTTTCTGTGTTAGAAACACATCGCAATATAGATGAGTTATTCTACCCATACAGTACCATTGTTTCCTTTTCCCTTGTTACACTGCCTTACATATGACAGTCTGTCAGATCTCAGAATAGAAAAGATTAAGTTTTTGCAAGTTAAATGTTAACCACAGATGAGAAATAAAGGACAAAGTTTACTCTTGTGTTAATAATTTACTCACTACTGAAGAGAAAAATGAAGAAGGGTTTTGATACTTTTAACAGGACTGATTCATGAACGGGAATGTCAAAATTTGAAGTTTAGTTGAGATAAATTTCTACACATTTGGATGTTTCTCCACACCTTCTTCTCCTAGGAAAGGAATTCTCACAAGAACAGGTTCTGACAAAGTTTCTTGCTTTCCTTTCACACAGATGAGAAAAAGAACAAAGATTTTCCTTGCGATTCTGGCCGAGGGCAGGAGACACAGGAAAACAGCTAGCTAAACACAACAACAGGTGAAGCTCTTGACTCTAAACAACCTCAAGATTGGCTCAATCATCCACCTACACCCAATTACCCTTAATGATGAAGTTTCACCCAGCTTTGTACATTATATGGGTTCAATCTTGAAATGACTTTAGCACAAGCATACTGTCAACCGTGTACATAAGGTTTTGTAGGCAGTTCCTACGGTGCGCTGAATTCACTGCATGTAGACTCCACTGCACGCACACAAGGTGTCAGGAAAAAACAGGAATCTGCCTGACAGAACTGGTTACAAGACTGAGAAGGGCCACAGCTTGCTTCTCCTCTTTGGCATTCCTATTTTATGTTACCGCAGGATTGTTTGATTTACACAGAACACTATTATTCCAAAATCCTGTGAACCTATACTCAATACCACGTCATCTTTTAATAATTTTCTTTCTTCAGTGCTGCCAATTGTCTTTATTTTTCTGTGAGCTCTGTGACACTCAATATCTTTCTTAACACCAAGTTCCTCGAATCAAATGATCACACATGCATCTCAGCTTTCATTTTATAACCACTTTTTTGTGTGAAGAAAAAATGCAATCTTGACACACCCAGAAGACATAGACATTTGAAATGGGGAAAAAAACCCCACTTTTCTTTAAAAGCCTGTCCTTCTTTTCAGAGCTGTGCTTATAGTTTTCTTCAATCCTGCCTCATCTGTTTCAAACACTGCCTAGAAAGAGATTTAGTGTAAAATATTTTAGAAGTGTTAAGGAATGAATCATATATTCCTCAAGTAAATATAAATCTCAGTTTTTCAACAAAAACAATAAATTACAAGATTTGTAATAAAAAAGACCTTATCAGACTAACAGAGAACACACAGACTGTAAATCCAGCTGCCCTTTTACCTGCTCTCAAAACCACAAGGTCTGACTACATACATGCTGATTGCTCTTTCACATGTGTTAGGTCAAGTATGTAAGTAGGGCAAAGGATGCTAGTAAATATTGCAGATATATTTGCAAAGGGAAGAGGAATCCTTTCAAAATTTGGACCTAGTTCATCTCTCAATGACTTTGATAAAAATGCATACATAAACCTGGGTTTTTGACTTACTGGGAGATGTACATATTTCACCTCTCACTGAATCTATTGGAAGTTGTGGTGCAGAACACCTCAGAGTCTGGTGGAAAACCCCAATCCTGCAAATGCTTGTGTACTTCCTTAATTTCAACCCTATGCAGTGACATACATGCATTGGAGCTACCGAATCAGCTCAAACATGGACAGGTCAGTGATGCCTGTGACATGGATCAAGTTACCATACCACCCTCCTTTAATCCCAGAGAAGGGAAAAGCCTCCTCTCACTGAAAAGACAAATATGCACATAACACCTAAGCACACTAAAATGAAAATAGAACCTCATGTAAAACAGCAACAGTAACAAAGAAGGTTTTTTAAAAGACTGAGTCCTCTTCACAAGTCATAAAAAGTAATCATTAAGCAAATAAGTTCTATTTATTTTATTAAATTAATAAAATATTTCATGTATTCATGTGTCATCTAAAATAAAAGGCAGCAAAATGTATTTTCAGTGGTGGTACTATAGGTCGAACATATATGACGTGTAAAGCTAATCCAGCTAAAATGACTCCCTGCCCTCCCCATTTGCAACTCCACTGTGGCTGTCGGCCATACAGCACATTGCTGTGTGCTGTGGAAGGAGATTTCCGCAAGGAAAGGCCGTGCCATTTCCTTGGAGCACTTACAAGCCAAGAAGAAAGGCTCTCTGTGAGGTATCATAAACAAACTCTTGTGACATGCCTTTATGATGCTGCCCCAGGGAATACATTAAAAACACACAGCAGACAAACTCAGAATTGCTGGAACAGCTTGAGATAACCCTTGCCCTTGATGGTGCGACCGCTCTTGCAGCTAACCATCCTCTCCCCATTCCTGCATTGCTCTGCATCTCTGCAGATCTGTGCTGACTGCCTGAAGGCCAGGAAGAGGGATCACCACCACAGAAAAACTGCATTTCCCCTTCCAAGTACAACTCTCTTAACAGAGTACACGTCACCTGGCAAGCAAGAGGAGGGCTTGACAGTAGATGTACAAAATTATTTCCATACAATTGGGTGCAGGAACCTTCCGTACTCTGCGGTCAGTTCCTGCAGCAGCAAAAAATAGCTGGAAAGCGGAAGACCCTAACAGAGTCATCACAGTGGTTTCTACAGGTGCTTCCCTGCTCTGTGTGAAGAAGATATGGACAGTGGATTTAGATGGTGTTATCACACCAAAATGCACCGCAGTGCACAACCAAGTAAGGCTGTGAAACTGCTTTTCTTTCCTTTGCTTTCTCAAGCAAGCCTATTTAAATGAGCCCTTAGTGCCTCAGCATTCAGCTGCTAAACCTGAACCTATTGCTAAAGGTTGAGGAACATAAATTTGCTTAGAAGAAAAGAGCAGCCCATTACCCACAGAACCACAGCCATGGTAGTTATTTGTGTTTAGAGCTTCAGTAGGAAAAAGATGCCATAAGAAATGCGAGTTCCTCCTTTTTCAGGTCCTAACATGGCATGTAAAATAGTAGTGTGAGACTGTGTCACTCTACAGATTTCAACCTTTTAAAAAGCAGCATTTTAGATTTTATCTGCTCTTGTACTAGCACCAGTTCAGTGGCACAGCTGTTGGCTGCACAGAGAATCCTAGCAGACGCGGGCTCCTGATACACATTACACACTGCCCTGCCTTGGCTTTTTGGATGGGGTGACAAAACATGGCTTAAAACAATGGTGGGCACTGGCTGTTACTGGGTGTTCCAGCTTTCCTTCTCTGGCTGGAGCAGAGCCACTGCCGGCTGCAGCAGGAAAACCTTTCAGAGTTGCTCCTGCAAGCAGAGCCTGCGCTGCTGGGCAGAGGGGAACACAGACCATTTGGAAACCTTCCAGCAGGAGGCCTTTCTACCAGCAACTGAAACATCCAGGGATGCATTCTAGAGAGCATCAACGGAAACCTGCAACCTAGGTTTTGGAGCAGCCCAAAGCCTCCATTCCCAGCCACCCGAGCCTGACGGTCCTGGGCGGCTGGGGACAGTGCTCCAGGGTCCCCAGGCCCTCTCCTGCCAGGCTCCCTAACTCACTCTCACATCACCTTCCTCAAGGGCTAGTTTTCCAACTGAGATTATCACCCTATTCTTCTAACACGAAATTAAGAAATGCCTTAAAGTGACAGAGTTTTTCACAGATCAGAAAATCTCATCACTGGGCACGGAGGAAGAGAACAATGAGAGTGAGAGAGCTCATAAATACTTATGAGGAAAAATGTTTTCAGGATACTATTCTCTTCATTGTCAAAAAGCTCTACAATGCATTGTGAGATTTAAATTTTCCCCCGCAATGACAGGATAGCACTGCTCCAGTGCATTAAACCAATCTAATTTCATTTTACAATATTAGAAGTCTAAAAACAAGTGTAAATCGTGAACAGTAGAGATTTTTCCTCATTTCCTCCACATTTACATTTCAGGGTAGTATAAAATTCAATAAAGTTTGTTTACACATCTCCAAATTCTTAACAGTGCTGTTAAAGCATTTACAGTTAACTGAAAATATCTGCACAGAATAAAAAAAGAGTAGCAGACTTGGCATTTATGCAGTCAGAACAAATGGAAACCCAGATCAGGGATGAACACTTATGATGAGGTCAAATGGCCTATGAATACGTGAAGTTACCGAGGAGCTATATACTGCATCTCCATTTTGAGCTAACGCAGTCTTCTGGAAAAGGGTCAAATGCAGCCTGTGCCTTCCAAATGGCAATTTCACCAGAGTCAGTTGACCTCTGCTGGCTTGTATCAGGGCTCAATTTGGCCCGGTAACTCCAGTGGTAGGGGTGAGTCGCATTAATATCATACACATTGTAAAATCTTACTCAAGATCTTCCAACAAGCAACATTATTTTACATTAAATTGGCTTCCAAGATATTCACATAAATTGCAGTCTATTTGAGACTATTTTGCCTAGAAAAAGATTGAAAGTAAATGCTGTAAAATCCCCAAAACTATATGGGGGCAATTGTGCACTCACCTGTTGAAGTAACAAATAACCCAGGGGCAATTCTGCACTCACCTGTTGAAGTAACAAATAACCACTGCCCCAGCGATTGTCATCTGCTGACAGGCAAGAATGAATTCACTTGTCCAGATAAGGCCAATGAAATGATACCATGCCATGTAGCAAATTCCAGACAGAGCTCTGTATTCTACTTGTCCTCCTGAAGTAGTCAGTGTAGTACCTGCAGTTGGGGTTACACCATTGTATTATTATAACATACCAGACACGCACACAAAAAAGTAAGTGCTTCTGTACCCTTTTTCTTAACTTTTCTTCAATAAAATTATAAAAAAAATAAATTTGGGTGCTATTTAATTCTATCCATTCTAACAAAGTCAGACAGCCAACATTTTGTAATTCAAAGAGAATTTTGAAAAATAAAATCTTACAAAAGCAAAAGCTTGGGTTTAAGTTGGGATCAAGATACAACTGCCAATAAAGTCAACAGATAAAAATTAGTAAAGATTTCTGAGAAAACACCACTCAAGATTTGAGTAATGAAATGCTTCAGAAGTAAATGAAATATTAATTTTCTTCATTCAAATTTAAAATAAACATACTTATGAAATGCTTCAGATCTTTTCTATAAGAAGTAAAAGAGGAAGACTGCAGAAAAATACTAAGGACGCATAACATACCATTGCAACAAAACAAAATAATGATTTTAATTACTATTACTAATTATAACTATGGCAACTAGTTTTCTAGTTTCCTTTGCAATCTTTGTGCAAAATAGGGGCAAATAAAGGCTACTGTATTCAGGAACAATGACAAATTCACTCATTCAAACTAAAAAAAAAAAATGCCTCCACTTCTGTTAACAACAAAGACTTTATTCCATATTCAATAGATGGCTGTTCACAGAAGGTGGGGGTAACTCAGATAACTTAGCAATCACACCTTTCACTATGCAATCCTATTTCTGCCACTTGACTCTGAAGTCCAGTCAGGGGACAACGGCATCAGGACATTTGCTCCTAGTGAAAGGTCTCTAGGTCCATAATCTGCTATTATTGTATAGTTTACCAAGCCTTAAGTCTATTAAAGATAAACAAGTTCACAGAATAAAATGGTCTCTGGAGGTAAGCAGTTTCTTATTCTAACTCCATTAAAGTAATAACAAAGTGAGACACAGAACTGTCTATTACTGCTAGAACAGTATTGTAACTTAAGCTTTAATACTTCATGTATCCGTTTGGTGGACTTGACAGTGTTAGGTGTACAGTTGGATTTGATAGTCTTTTTCAGCTTCAATGATTCTACTGTTCTATGTTCTCCCACAGGACAGCACTCCACTTTCAAGTTCAAAACTACCACAGGTACAAACCTAGCTATGAAATGGTTCATGTAATTTGTCCTGTTTTGCTATAACCACAGAGTTCATACT